ATTACATGTAATGGGAAAAGAATAGTAGTGTAAAGAATTAGAAGCAGCGATGAGGTAGGGATTATGGTTGTAACTCTTCTTTGAAAAAGTTATGTTGGGAGACACTTATGCTATATGGGGGGGAGTGTTCCAGGTAGGAGAATATCTGATGTAAATACTGGAGTCTCCCTGGCCTATTTCAGCAGGACTGAGGCTGAGGTGGAAAGACTAAGTGGGGAGGGGGACAGGGCTAAAGGAAAGGCATGTCTGTTTTCAGATTTTACTCTTTGCTGTCAGCCTTCCTTAGGACATGATGAAGTGTTATAGACTCTTGGGATGCATCAATGAATAATAACAAGATCTCAATTTATGGAGCTCACATGGTATAAAGGAAGATGGAAATAAATGATAAAGAAACATAATGACTATGTAATTTACATATTACATGTTATGGGAAAAGAATAGTAGTGTAAAGAATTAGAAGCATCGATGACGTAGGGATTATGGTTGTAACTCTTCTTGCCTTGTCTTCTTGGTTATTATGAAACATCAAGTAAAAGCCCTCAGTGATTTCCTATCTAAAATCCTGGCCTAGAATTTATCATAATTCCTTCCTTTGGTCTCTAAATTAATGAGGTGATCTTTGCCCTGCCCCCCTGCAATGAAGTTTTTTTGAAATGTGATGATACTATTGGCTTTGTATGTGTTTAGAATTCAGGGTTCCCTATGCTGGTGGGCATCAGCTTGTCTTCTAGTCCACTTCTCCACAGCATCTCTAAATGTGCTGAGATAAAATACTCAGTAAAAATTTTTGTCTGTTTTCTGAGAAGCAGATGCTTTGCCTAGTACATTTGTGGTCACACAAGAAGTAACTGGAAAGATGCAGAGACTTGACTAGTATTGGCTACTGCTGACTTTCTTTGACAAAGTATTAATGAGTTCATGAAGGAAGTAACCCATTTGAAAGTAGAATAAAACACCTTTTAGTATAAGAATTTGGTAGAAAAAGTTGGCTAATGTTCCTTTAAGAATAATTTTTATAGAAGAAAAAATGAAATTAAAGATGTAGTCATCCTGCCCATATTGTTCCAGATAATGATGTACAATAGCAGATAATTTAAGAAAAAGAGAAGCAGGGGTAAAGAAATTAGCTTAGCTTAAGAAATGGGTGCTAGAAAGAAATTTGAAAAAAGTTACTGTCAAAGGAGTTGACTGGAAACCATTCAGAAGCCTGCAAAAATTTTGATGAAATTATCTTATCTTAAAAAATCACAGGCTGAGGCCACAACAACTTGTGAGTGTTGTTAAATCCTGGCAGGAAGGGCACACTAGTCTCCAGGCAGGAAGGGCATACTGAATTGCCTGGCCCCAGAAGAGGATATCCAACTCACCTCAGGGGAGGTTAATGAGAAAGGAACAATCCCCAGGGGCCAAGAGCAGTTTCCAAAGAGCAAAGCCAATGCCATATTTCTATCAACCCCATAGACAGGTAGGCTACAACCTTGCTTAAAGGAATTTCAGAAATCCTGTGGCTCAGATGTTAACTGTCTTCCTTTCTTCCCTTTTCCCTATGGAAATCTCTAGTGGGATTATCCAGTCCCTGATGCACTATTGTAAATTGGGTTGTGGCAGGATTGGAGAGGTGTGGTCTTTTGATTTTCTATTTAGTGGACCAAGAAAGCCCACATGGACAACATATGATTAGAGAAATGTATGCTACCAAAAGACCTTAGACTTCATTGACTTCATTGGACCTATACGGCTACGTATAAAAAGAAGAAACAAAGAATACTGGCAACCAGAAGTCTGGACTGTGTCAGAGCTGTGAGAGCGCACCAATTTCCTGTTGTTTCCTATTTCAGGGCACACAGGTGATCATGTGGTTGACATCCAGCTAGTATACCATCATTGTGGATATACAATGGAAGTGAGAGAAAGTGTGCTTTCTCTCCTTCCTTTCTGGTCTGGACAATAGAATATAATGAAAGAAGTGACAATTGAGGGATATGAATCACAGAACAGAAGGAGCCTGAGTTCCTGTTGACACACAAAAGACTATGGAAGATGAAAATTAGAATTCTAGTGTATGAATTCACAGGAATTAAAGGGATTCTGTCACAAAATATAATCTAAACAGACAAATACACATAACATGAATAGCACATTTTTCTTGATTTTTTTGTTTTATTTTAATGATTAGGAACATGGATTAATATTACATGGATTATCAAGTCATAAAATATGTTATTTAAAAAATAAAAAAAATCATAGGAAGAACAATTTTAAGAGTTTTCAAATAGAATTTTCACTTTTAAGAAATACATCTTGGTAAAAATGGCATGATAAAAGTCTCATCATTAGCTGATTCATAACAAAATGTGTGTGAATTTATTTCCTTTTAAAATATTTAGCTAAAATGTATTTAAATTTAAATTTAGCTATAAGGAAATAGCTTATACTTCATAAAATATAGGCTAGTGTACTGTTTATAGTTATATCTTATGTTCCATGGTTCTAATATATTCTATCATATTTCTTACAACTATTTTCTATAGGAAAGTGGTGTGTGGTTCTTACCTCTCTATTATCTCAGTGAAGTTTAGATGACAAAGAGACAGACTCAAATTTGGGAGCCTTATAGTTAGATTTGAGAAAGATAACCTGTCTCTAGTTGCTCCAAACTTCTGGAAAATATAGGACACTACTTCCCAAAGGCGTTGCAGGTACATCCAAGAAAGTAGGTCCCTTACAGTCATAAGTGCCACTGCTTTCAATGCATAAGGAAGGAAATGAGATTGAGAAGGGATCCACTGAATTCAAGTTACTTCCAGTACAAGTGTCATCTGGATGCAAAGAACACAGGGCAGACACTGTCCTCAAACACACTGTTTCACTTAGTGAGCATATAAAGAAAAAAGAGCTGGGACAGGAAGGGGACAACTTCCCATTTAACACTTAATTGTTAAAGTCATCTGTCAAAATTCAAAGGCCAAGTATTCTAAGGGAAAACTTAGAGTATCCTATCATTTCTAAAAGACCAGAAAGTGGTATGTGTGTGAAGGAGAGATACAGTGCAAACAGGGACCCTACCCTTGGCTGTGCATATTGGGTCCGTGCAGAAGCTCAGGAATGTTTTTCTGATGTACAGAACATATAGTTTTCCTCTAGCTCAGCAACATCTTCAAGGTATTATAAAAATTATAAAATAATATTATATACTACCTATCATTTTGGGAAATTTAGAGCAGTTAAAAAATGAGCATGAACAAAAAACATCCAGAAAAAGCTACTGTATATATTTTGCTGAATTTGGTGTCAGGATTTTTCTGTATCTTCTACAAGCCCACATACTTGCGTACATTTTAACAAGAGGCAGGACATTATAAATGAATTAATGACATAGAATGATACAATTCAAAATGTTGAAAAACTAAATTCTGTTACATATATTTTCCCCAATAAAATATATTTTTAAAAAGTAACTCCAAACAATGAGTAGAAGAAGTACATTATTTTATATTCATAATAGCTACGTGTCATCAAGTCCATGTCTCCACCCAAAATTGGCCCATTTAATCAGGATTTGTCCTGGAGTCATTCTAGATTCTTCCACCATGGAACTCAGGAATAATGTAGAGCCAGCTCAACTTGTATACGTTTAATATATGCAAGGGATGTCATTCTCTCCTGCCAGTTTGACAATGACTCATCTCCTTGTAACTCATTTATCTTACAGTTTCCAAATGTCTGAGATCTTGTCAAACCTCTCTGAAGTGGCTGAACACCACACGGATACTTAACTTCCCCCCCTCATATCTCTTATATATTATAGACCATTCAGCCCACTAAGAAACTGAGTTTGCCAATTACTACTGAAGTCTTTCTGAAACTTTACATTATCTTTTCTGCTGCTGGAAAAAGCTCTCTAATATCCCAGAACCACTCTACAGAGCCCTGTAAACCTGCATGTTCACCCGTGAAACCAAGGAGACCAGGCTGTATAAGAAAGTGAGGACATAAAATTATGGCAAACTGGACCCTGAGGTGATACAGAAACAGAATTTCTTGGCTACATTAATTAAATATTTGGAGTATAATTTTGGAAAATGGAGTGGCTACCTTTGATGCTATTAAAGTCTTTTATTTCTGTGACATTGTTAGCCTAATAACCTGCTCTTCCCAACTTTGTAACTGATTATTTATCCCACCTGGATCAGGTACTTCTAATAGCTGCATAAAATTCACCTTCTGTTTGGAATTACTGGATAAAACTGTTTCTGTGGGGTATTCAAGGGAAAGAGGCAGAAAGAAGAGGGACCTGAGAAGAGAGAGCGAGCCAAGTGCTGTGTACATTTTAAGTATCTGAACTACAAGAGATGACTGCAAGTTGCCAGGGTGGGGTCGGGAGCCCTGGGAATCCTCTTTCCCTTGTGCTGGTCCACCAGTAGGACTCCTACAAATGGTGGGCCCCAGCAAAAGACGACACATCCTGAGATGATGAATGTGAGTTGTACAGGTGCCTATGTGAGTGTGTAGACAGGTGCCTATGTGAGTGTGTACAGTGTGTCTCTGACACTGTGTGAAACTATGTATCAAGAGTAATTCAAAGGAAAAATAAAGAAGAAAAGTACAATATGAAGTTAAAGTATGTAAGGATAATTCTTTCTTGTAATGAAGAGAAGATTTATGGGTAGAAGACTGAGGATCAGAGTTAGGCTGGGGCAGGGCCCATGATACTCAGGTGTGATTCAGTTCAGTGCAATAGAAAAACCATATTCTAGCTGTGACGCCCAATGTGACTAATTCTGGGTTCCATCATACAATTTCTAATTACTATTCCAGAAATACTCTGTGTGTGTGTGTGTGTGTGTGTGTGTGTGTGTGTGCACAGCCTCGTACAAGTACACAGCACCAGGAATAAGTGAAGACATCAATACCAACTCCTCCCTGGGTATGTGTGCTGACTCACAACGAGAGACCGAGGAAAGGGGAAGATTCCACCAATGACACACAGCCAAGAGTGAAGACAAAAGTAATTTAATGTGACAAAGTAGAAACATTTCATCTAATGTAAAATCCCTTTTCAAATAAACTCTGAGAGGCTGCAGAACAGCAAGGCACAAAGACGCTCTGCTTAACTCAGAGGCTCAGAGGATAACTCAGTGTGTTGGGGAAAGCACATAAATTTAGAACACAAATAAGACAGACTTTGGCTCACTGTGAGAACATATTGATTATAAGATCTGGACAATTAAACAGACACAGAAGTGGAAGAGGAGGCAAATTCAGCAGCTGGTCATCATCTCCTGTGCTCTGGATAGCATTACTTCTGCTTGGTCTTGTGTTGAGTGGAGCCCAGAGTGACTATTGAGGGGTTTGACTCTGGCATCTTAGATTGGCATGGCTCTGGGGCCCTGGTGTATCAGGGCTCAGGAACTTTTGTGTATCCTGGTTCAGGAACCTTGAAATAACCTGGCTCAGTGATCTTGGTGTTTTCTGGCTGAGAGACTGTAGCGCATCCTGGTGCAGGGACAGTGGAGTATCCTGGCTGAGGAGCAGTGGTACATCCTGACTCAGGGACCACAGTGTATCCTGGTGCAGTGACCGTGGTGCATCCTGGTTCAGGGATACTAGTGTATCCTGGTGCAGGGGCAGTGGTGCATCCTGGCTGAAGCGCAGTGGTACATCCCGACTCAGGGACCACCGTGTATCCTGGTGCAGGGACAGTGGTGCATCCTGGCTGAAGAGCAGTGGTACATCCCGACTCAGGGACCACGGTGTATCCTGGTGCAGGGGCAGTGGTGCATCCTGGCTGAAGGGCAGTGGTACATCCCGACTCAGGGACCACTGTGTATCCTGGTGCAGGGACAGTGCCGCAGCCTGGCTCAATAACTGTGGTGAGGCAAGGCTCTGCGATCTTGGTGGTTCCAGGTTGTGCAACAGCTGGATGGCGTGGCTCCTTGGTGATGGGAACAAATGGCACTTCAGGGGGAGGCTGGCAGGGTTGTTTCACCTGCTCCTCTTGAGGCTGAGGGGGTGGGACAAAGGGCTGCTTCTGCTGGTAGGAACTCATGCTTCAAAGGATGTTGGGCCTAGAGACAGAAAAGTAGATTAGTCATTTGGAGGAGCAAGATGGAATCTCAATTTAATGATGATTGTCTCTCATTGTATGTCCTTGTGGAAGTGATAGATTCCCTTCCTTCGTTTCTTTCTTTCTTTCTTTCTTTCTTTCTTTCTTTCTTTCTTTCTTTCTTTCTTTCTTTCTTTCTTCTTTCTTTCTTTCTCTCTTTCTCTTTTCCTCTCTTTCTCTTTCTATTTTCTTACCTTTGAAATGTTAGGATGCTTTGAGGATCCCTGCAAAGCTTCAAGACAAAAGGTAAAGATGATTTGTTCAGGGCCATGTGAATGGGGCCCTTCTTTTTGCTTCCTTCCCACCTGGTGCATCTAAACACCTATGCACATCACAAGCAGCTCAATGCCCCAGCAGGCTGCTGTGGTCGATGTGAGGGCCTAGGTTTTGAATATTTGGGAAAATGGTAGAACATAAGGTCTGTAGTTTACCTACTCATGTCTACCTTATACATGCCTTTGCGCTCACAGGAAAACTACAGACTGTTCCCTGGGTGCACATGATCTGCTCCTGAGCCTCTGTCCCACTGTCCCTCTGGAAGGCTGTGCACTGCATCAGTGCTAGTCCTCATAGGCTCATCTGCCATGACGTTCCTCCCTAATGCCTCTGCCAGATTCCAAGTCACCTTCCTTATTATGCGTCAGTGGGTTACCTGCCCTCCCTTTTCCTATCTTCATCTTCCATACTCTAGGTGACCAAATTGTTCCCATATCATTATATTCTCTCAGGAATATAGCTTTCTAGAGCAAAAAATTATACTTTACATGTTAAAATTATGTAGTGCAGCACCCTTGATATTAACAGATCTCAGTAAAATTGGAGAGACAATTAAAAAATCACTACTAAGGCCCTGAACATGGAATCCAGTCCATATTTTCCTCATAATGTCAATCTCTGAGGAAATCACTGTCCTTTTCTGATCCTCAGTCCCACCGCTGTAAGCTGAGTGGAAAATAAATAACATTTACATTAGCACCTTCAAATACAAGCTACCATTGCATTTGAATATATCCTTAAATAAAGATATCCTTAGATGTCAAGAAGTGCCAATAAAATAGAATAACATGGGCTGCAAATTAAGAAGTTCCAAATGGGGGCTCTTACCTCAGAAGAGTAAGTCCTCTCACCTTTCAGGTCTGCTGTGGAGTCTCTGGGCAACTGAATTTTTATACAGAAAATGAGCCCTGCCTTAAGGAAGGAAATGGAATTTTGGAGAGCTGCTCTGCCTTCATTCCAGCTTTTGTGATGAAAAATCTGTGGCTTAACATTTTTTCACGCTTGTTGTGACAAAAATGTCATTTGTGCGTCCCCTATGTGAACCTTTGTGGTGTGATTGCTAAGGGCATTAGGCCTCTTGAGAGGTACTGGATTAAATCTGGAGGAGTGCTGAACTGCTCAGACGAGAAATATCTGTGCTTCTTTGCCAAGACAGTAATTTTTAGCTTAAATACATCTCTTCAGCATTTTAGTATACAAAGTCGATATAGAGATGAGCAAGTGGCATTTCTGGTTCTTCTGGGAGGCTGTAGGGAAGGTGGCAATAAATAAAGCACTTGTCACGGCCCACCCTTGGGAGCGGAAATGAGCTGTCTTCACTCTGGAAAGGTTCATAATGATGCCATGTTAACTTGATTTTAATTAAAATTAAAAAATTTTTGACACATACTTGTGCACACTTTGAGGTACAATAAGATGCTTTTTATTCATGTGTACACTGGGTAAACATACAATTAACTATGCATCACCTTAAACTTTTATCATTTCTTTGTAGTAAATAAGCTCAAAATCCTCTCTTCTCACTATTTTGAAATATATGATGCATTATTGCTATTTTCACCCTACTGTGCTATAAGACCAAACTTATTCAGCTTATGTTACTATAAAGTTATACCCATTGACTGACCTTTTCCTATCCCTCACCTATCTACTCTTCTCTACCTCTACAAATCATTGTTCTGCTCTCAACTTGCACAAAACCAGTTTGTTAGATTCTGCATGTGAATGAGATCATGTTATATTTGTCTGTCTTTGGCTGACGTGATTCACTTATCGTGATGATTTCTAGTTCCATCCATGTTGTCACAAATTACAGGATTTCTTTTTTCTTTTTCTTTCCTTTTTTTTTTGGGGGGGTCATCTAGTATCCCATTGCATATATATACCTCATTTTCTTTGTTTATTCATCTTTTGGTGGACATTGAGGTTATTTCATATTGTAGCTATTATAAATAATACTGCAATAAACATTGGTGTGCGGTATTTCTTAAACATGCTGATTTCATTTTGAGTCTGCAGAGTAGAGGAATTATGGAGTTATAAAGTACTTCTACTTTTAGTTGTTTGAAATATTTCCACAGTTTTCCCTAATGACTGTATTAATTTATATTCCCCAAAAACAATGTCTAAAAGCTCCCCGTTCTCTGCATCCTTGCTGTAATTTGTCACTTTTACCTTTATGATAATAATCATTTTTATGTGGGAGAGGTAGTATGTATTGTGGTTTTAGAATTTCTCTGATGGTTAGTGATCTTGAAATGCACGTTTTTAACTCATTATTTTAATTGTAATTTTTTTTGTACTTGAGGCATTTTATATTTTTATGCATTCTTAATATTAATTCCTTGTTAGATGTAAGTTTTAAAATAATTTTCTCTCATCAAAAGTTGTTTCTTACCATTATGTCGGTTTCTTTTGCTGTGCTTGTAGTTTGATACAGTCCCATATGTCTGTTTTTGCTTTTCTTTTTTTTTTGTTTTTTTTTGTTTTTTTTTGTTTTTCTCCGGTACCGGGAACCGAACTCACGACCTTGCACTTGCCAGACAGGCGCTTTGCCGCTGAGCTAAATCCCCAGCCCCGCTTTTCTTTTCCCTGTGTTTTTGCATGTCATATCTAAAAACTGATTGCCTATACAAATGTCATGAAGTATTTTCTCTTTTTAGTAATTTCATAGTTTGGGATCCCATATTTAAGTATTGAGTCCGTTATTAGTTTATCATTGTAACTAGTTGGAGAGAAGAGTCTAGCTTCATTCTTCTGCATATACATATTCAACTTTTCAAGCGCCATTTATTGAAAAGATAATCTCTTCTCTACTGTATATCCTTTTAGTTCCTGTGTTGAAAATCAATTGAGGGTAAATACATAGGGTTATTTCTGGGCTCTTTCTCCTTTTCCATTGTTCTCCATGTCTGTTTGTATATCAATATTATTTAATTATTGTAGTTTTGTCATATAGGAAAAGTGGGACTGATGCTAGGGAAATAGATAGGGAAAGGCAAATAGATAGGTAAGGTTTCCGGCAACTCCTGACTACAAAGAGTTAAACCTCTGCTGAAAGGAACACTTAGGAGAAGCAGGGTGAGCTGATAGGCAGCTGGGCTCTGCCAGACACCAGGGGCCCAGCTAAAATTAGTCACCTCTCCCCACCTCTAGTTACAAAAAAGACAAAATGGGGAGAGGGCTACATAATAGGAAATACATGTAGTATAGAAAATATATATACCTATACCTAGACACACCCATGCATGCATATAGATAGATAGGTAGATGATAGATAGATAGATGATAGATAGATAGATAGATAGATAGATAGATAGATAGATAGTGGCCCTGCAGTAACTTGATCCATTAATGCGTTCTTTTTTCAAGCCATTTTGCAAACAGAAATGTTTGGCAAAATTTTGTTTTTATTTGCAAACTCTATATTAGGTGACAAACATGACCACAGAAACACAAAGGATTCTTTTCTAGAATCATGGAATGAATTAAGTTTGTGAACCAAATATATTCTGTCACTATGTTTCTGTACTAAGTGTACATGTTTCCTTTTACCTCATTGCTAACTGGTTTGTGGGTAAGGTCCCCTACCATAAATTTTAGAGATAATGGAGGGCGTCAAGGGCTAAATTATGGGTCTTAGGGCCTGAAAGAGCCAATTAAGTTGCAACAATCCTTTTTGCTACATAATGAAAGAGGCTGAGAATAAGGGCCCTTGGCTACCTGCTCCGAGATCCCTACCTGACTTCCAATAAGGTAGTTGTCCCTCCATCTTTTCTCTCCCTTCTCACATAAAGTGATTTTGTTTCTTCTTTTAAATTTGTATTTTTAATTCTCTATTAGCATAGGTTTATGATTCCTGGTTGGCCTCAGTTTAACTATATTGTACACATTCCTGGACAAAACAGTATATTTTGAACTCAGATAATGTGATGTCTTCAGCTTTGTTCTCTATGCTCAAGATTCCTCAGGCTTGGTGACCTTTATGATTTCAGACAAATTTCGGGATTTTGTTTTGTTTCTGCAAAGAATGGCATTGGTGTTTCGATAGGTATTGATTGACTTGGTAGATGACTTTGGGTAAACAGATATTTTAACATGATTAATTCTGTTTCATGAACATGTGATAGATTTCTATTTATTTATATCTTTTTCAATTTCTTTCATCAATTTTTGTTTGTTTTGTGAAACAAAATTTCAATGTATAATTCAGGCTAGACTTGAACACTATGTAGCCTAGGCTGGAGTCGAACTCAAGATAATCTTCCTGCCTCAACCTCCCCAGTCCTGGGAGTACAGGAGTGTGCTACCATGTCCAGCTCATGAATATTCTGTAGTTTTCATTGTAGAGGTCTTTCACTTCTTTGATTAAATTTATTCCTATATAATATATTTTATTTTATTTTTGTAGATATTGTCATCTTTTTCTTCTTTTCTTTTTTCAGACAGGTCTCATTATATCTCCAGGATGATCTCAAACTTGCAGTCTTACTGCCTCAACCTCCTGAGTAGTTGTGATCAGGGACATACACTATTACACCTACCTATTTTTTGTACATATTACAAATGTGATTTTTCTCAAATTTTTAAGAAAATGTGCATTTAGTGTATAGAAATATCATACTGGTTTTTACATGTTGATTTTGTATTCTATACCATTAATGAATCCATTTATTAATTCCAGAATTTTTTTTAGTGAAGCCTACAGGCTTTTCTATACACAGGATTATGTCATCTACAAACACAGACTGTAGGACTTCCTCTTTTCCAGTTTGGATGCCCTACCTTTGTTCTCTTGGCTAATTGCTCTGACCCTTTCTAGTGCTTAATTTTTCTGTCTAAGTCTAGGGCAATGTTGAATAAAAGTGGTGAAAGTGGGTATCATTTCCTTGTTCCAAATCTCAGAGGAAAATCTTTCAATTCCACTGTCAGCTCATGACATCATGATGTCAGCTTGGGTTTGTTATATATGACCTTCATTGTGTTGAGGTACATTTGTACTAAATCTAGTATGTTGAAAGTTTTCATCATTAAGGAATATTGAACCTTATCCGAAGTTTTTTCAGCATCTATTGAACTAATCATGTGATTTTTGCCATTGATTCTGTTAATGTTATATATAATATGCATTGATTTGCACATACTGGACCCTCCTTGCATCCCTAGGATGACACCCTCTTGATCATGGTGAATGATCTTTTAAATATGCTGTTGAATTCTGTTAGGATTTTTTTTAAAGATCTGCATCTGTTCACCAGACATATGAGCCGCAATTTTGTTGTGGTGGTGGTGTGTCCAGACCAGGACATACTGTCACATTTTTGAATCAGGGTAATACTAACCTCATAGAATGGTTTTGGAAGGATTCCCTATTCTTCAATTATTTTAACTATCTTGAGGAGAATTGATACTAGTTCTTCTTTAGCTTGGTAGAATTCAGTAGTAAATCCACTAGGTACTGAGAATTTTTGGTGGAAGAATTTTTATTACTGATATAATCTCATTACTAATTATTGGTCTTACAAGTTTTCTGTTTCTTCCTCTGTACATGATGTATATCTTATCTCTTTCTGCTCTTCAAATATTTTTGCCTTAATTTTTGATAGTTTGAGGAGTATATGTTGTGGTGAACTCATCTTTAGGCTTATTTGATTGATGATCTCCTTGCTACTTGTACCTGGATGACGGCTTCTTTCCTCAGATATAGGAAGTGTTTTTCCAGTATTTCATTAGGTATGTTTTCTGGCTTTTTAATTCATTCTTCAATTGCTTTAATTCCTAGTAGTTATAGGAGAGTCTTTCTGATGGTGTGCCATAATTTTCACAGGCTTTATTTATTCTTTCTTATTTTTAATTTTTATTTCTCTGATTAGATGCTTTCAAATATTTTA